CAAAAACAACGAAGTTTTATCCTAGGCTTTAAAAGAGTCATACCTGTTTTATGATTGCAGCATCAGTGGAAAGGAATTCAAGATTCCTTAAGCTAGTTCTACATAAAAGTCATAATGCTTTATTATTTGTCATTGCATAAGCAATTTGAAGAATGCTTTAAAATAAAATGATACCAATAAACGCAGGGTATATTTTATTTAGTCATAGCCAAGTGTGTGGTTTTGCAACAAATGTAAGATGTGCAGCTATAATATGTCTACTGTGGAAGATTCAACAAAAACTATTTAATCTAAATTTTATTAGCAGTTAAATCTATTTTCTAGATTTTTTAAATGGCCATTGATAAATGTTCTTTCATCGTCCTCTGGAACAGTCACAGATTATGCAGGGAAGCCATTTCCTAGATTGGCTTGGAATTAATGAACTAAGGCTCTCCTGCTAAACTGTGTGGTTCCACTCCTGGCTTCCCCCAGACAGTTCATGAACAATGTAATTTGCTTTCATTGTAGACAGTATTCCTATAATGTTCTCATTCATGAAATTAAAGTGGTCAAAGGGAAAGACTTTCATAAAGAATGTTTTTTGCTGATGTGATTCCTTCTAAAACAGAAAATCACTTTACCTAAAGTTCAATTAGGGCCAAATACAGTATAAATGGCCTCTGTAACAGGCTTGAAATATACAAGATGCTGAAACATTATTTTCCATTGGCTTTCCTGGTTCTATGCCAAACATGTCTTGGCTACAAACATGTCCTGGCTGCAACAGAAGAATGAGGAGGCTTTGGGGGAGAAATAGGACATAACTAAGGGAGCTCTAGAAGGGTGTAGCTGCAATCTGGCACTTTGCAGAAATTTTGGAAAATGAATGAAGCTCTTTTATAATTCTAACTCTATAGGTAGGATCCACTTACAAATTATGGGAACTTTATAATATATCCCTTAAGAAACCCAACTCTTTCCAGAGAAGTGACAGTGAGCCATATGGTTCTGTTCAGAGATGTAAGGTTGAAGAATAGATTTTATGTTCAGACAAAAATCTATTTTGAAGGTAAGGAGGGAAAAAAAAAAGATAAATTTTACTGAAAGCCAAACAGAAACGGAAAAACAATCATAGCTATTTAGGAAAAAGACCAAAACCTTTTCAACCCACTAAGCATGAATTAAAAACTAATATTAAAAGGAAGAAAATTAGTAAGCTGTCTCATTAGTCCAAAGAGTCCAACAGGTGTTTGTTGTTAAGCAAAAGCTACAGAAATAATACAGTAATATCTTGATATATTACAGAACCAAAACAAATAACAACAAAAAGCAAAACAAACAAAAGCTACTACACAAGAGTTCATTTTAACTTTAAGAATCTGGTATAGCAGTACATTTTCTCAAAGGACTGAAACAATTTTAACCCCAGCTGCCACCTATTTATCTAACAATAGATTGTTTAAAGATGTGTCACTTCTGGTGCAGCTATTCATTTCACCTAAACTGCATGAAGTTTAAGCCTCAGAGTAACTTTATCACATATAGACCATATGCAGACTAAATACAACACTTGTGCCTGATTCTGAATGGTATCTTATATCAAAACGCTCCCTTAATTATAGCTCCTGCTTCTCAAACTGCTCTTTTAAATTGGCAGAAGCTGCCTATAGTAACCAAAATCGGATTCATGCAGAAAAAATATATTTTAGGAAAACGTGCAACAAGCACCTAAGCATCTGTTAACACTAAAACCAGAAAGCAGTATATGCTGCGGAGCACCTAAGAACAGCCTTTAAAATTTAGTAATTCACAGCATTCACTTTGAATTATTATGGCAATCTTTTAAAGCAACACACTACAATGGCACAATCATTTCATTTGTTCAACACATGTTTATTGAGCATCTACATGCTAGGCACTACGCTGGGTACTGAGGATACAGTGATTAGTAAATAGACACATAAAGTGCTACAGGTTTGTATAGTTTCTAAGGCTGAAAAGCAGGAGGTTATATTGCTAAAACTATAAAAGAGAAAACAAGATCATCCTCTGATTTTTCCATTAAAGCAGCCATCCTCCCACGGCTACCCTTATGAAGTGACTGAAGCAGATGATAACTGGGGGAAGGAAGGGAGAACAACAACAGGCAATTAGGGGTGAGGATTAGGAATGAGCTCACACTCTTCCCAGTCCTTGTTTTTCTTGTCTCTTCATTGATCAGATAAACATGGGATAAGAAATGGGAGGGTATCCTGGGATTAAGGAGGTTAGGACTACCAGTAATAATAGGACTAGGTTGTGAGAAATGTTAATAGAACAGAGTTTTCAGGGACTCACAGGGAGGGATAAAAAAATCACCAAGGGTAACAAAAGGGGAAGGCCTGTGAATACGACAAAGATGAGTCACCAACTGGAACGAACATTTATATATGTTGGCAAGAGAGTCATTAAAAAAGTAAGCCCTGTTGAGAACGCATTAGAGACATATCCATTCAAATGACTGTCAACCACTAACAGCTCCTCAAATATGGGGTACATGATAGGCACTGACAGCATATAAATAAAAGGAAAAGCAGAAATGAATCCTACACCATTGGAGTATTTACAATGTCATCGTGCAAACTGTAAAGTGTCACATATAAATACTAGTTATTAATCATTTATTCTTACTACAGACAAGGAAGCTTTGCTCCAGACAGGTTAAATGACTTGACCAAGGTCACACAGTTATGCTTAGTGGCATGACAGGCAAAGACTCAGACAATGAACTATAACATTCGTGACCAGGCATATGTCAAAGCCATGAACATGTGATCTCCAGGGAAGCCATGAGACAGACTCTATCCCCCCCACCATCAGAAGAGAACTGCCTAATGTACTCTGAAGAAACAAAATCACTAGAGATTAATTACACATTACAAAGCTATAAGAGAAAACAGGAAAGCAGTAGTTTCCATGATTAATTACTTTGAGGCATAGCTAATTAGACAGAAGTGTCCATTTTTTTCAATCAGCCTTAAAAGATATAAATTAATGTCACTCTAAACAGTTACAGAAATAACTGGTTTAGATGTTATTTTTAACACAATTATAAATCCCAGAGTAATCCAAGAAAAGACTAACGGAACATACATACTCTAAATCAGTACGGGAAGAGAAAAAAGAAGAAAAACTGAAGAAGAGAAAAAAGATAGAATTTTTTGTATGAACTCTACTGAATGGTTATTGTTCATTATATAGGAAATCACTGATTCCTTAAGCCTTCAAGAATGGCAATGAAAGCACCATATGTACTCACCATCAAACCGGTATTAACTGATTAACACTTAAGTGCATATATAGTAATAACATTCATTGGGTGTCGGGCAGATGAGAGGAGGGAGGAGGGGATGGGTATATACATATGTAATGGGTGCGGTGCGCACTGTCTGGGGGATGGACAGGTTTGAAGCTCTGACTCGGGTAGGGCAAGGGCTATATACGTAACCTAAACATTTGTACCCTTGTAATACCCTGATATAAAAAAAATTATAAAAAAAAAGAATGGCAATGACAAAATGATCTTTGTTGCTATAAAAAAAAACTTCAACAAAGCAGCTTCATATGAACACATGAACACACATGAAATATTAATACTAATGTCCCTTTTATTCAAGAAAGATCTAAGTTAATTTTTAACAGAGTAGTAAAGCACTTTATAAACCTTTTATTAATGAACTTTAAGATGTTACCAACATAACCTCTTATATAAAAATCTTCTTCGCTATTTACTCAGTTCCACTTTGCAAGGACTATACTTTCTTCAGCATGCTCAAGTCTCACCTTCTTTGACCATTTCCCCTCCCCTTTTGTGCCTGTCATCTTCCTGCTACTCACATAAATACCCTTAACGCCTTTCTTTCCCTATCCAAATCTGCTCTCAAGATAGAATGGGCAAAATCCTTATCAAGGTGTGTAAAGTAGTCATGACACTTGAAAGGAGTTTGCCCCCTTGTATTTTTTTAAATAGATTTTATAGTTTCCATATACATCCTGCCCCGACACACGTACAACCTCCCCTACCCCTTGCATTTGAACAGATATCAAATATTTAAACAAAAGTAAGAATTCTTTTTTTCTTTTTGTTTTTTAAAGACAGGGTCTTGCTATGTTTCCCAGCCTGGACTTGAACTCCAGGGCTGAAGCGATCCTCCTTCCTCAGCCTCCTGAGTAGCTGGGACTATAGGTGGGTGCCATCTTTTCTACCAAAAGTAGAATTCTTTTTTTTTTTTTTTGAGACAGAGTCTGGCTCTGTTGCCCTGGCTAGAGTGCCGTGGCTTCAGCCTAGCTCACAGCAACCTCAAACTCCTGCGCTCAAGCGATCCTCCTGCCTCAGCCTCCCAAGTAGCTGGGACTACAGGCATGCGCCACCATGCCTGGCTAATTTTTTCTATATATATATTTTTAGTTGTCCAGATAATTTCTTTCTATTTCTAGTAGAGACGGGTCTCGCTCTTGCTCAGGCTGGTCTCAAACTCCTGACCTTGAGCGATCCACCTGCCTCGGCCTCCCAGAGTGCTAGGATTATAGGCGTGAGCCACCGTGCCCGGCAAAAGTAGAATTCTTAATCTGGGGTCCAGGGAATCCATAGATGTCTTCAGGGAATCTTTGATCTCCCAAATAGTATATCCTGAATTTTGATATTTGAATGTATATACATTTTTCTGGAAGTCAGTCTCATCAAGTTCTAAGGGGTCAGCAGTCAAAAACAGCTAAGGCCCACTAAACTAAAAGAATGAAGTTTAAGGTCTAAACATCAGGTAGACAGACTAAGGGAACTATTTTTGAGGACAGAAAGCCTTCACCAGTGTCCCTAAAAATCATACCACAGAGGTGGCTGCCTACAGCAAGTATCAATATGTCCTCTCTTCAACTTCAATGGGAACTACAGAAATACCCTAGTTAAATAAATTACAACCGATGAAATGACTTTCAAATGTGTGATGACCTCTCTCTCTTTTTTTTTTCTTTTAACATACCTTTAAAGCTTCTATAACAAGGTCCCTTGCTTCAAGCTCTCCTTCAAGAATACTAAATAGTGTCAGGAGTTCAGGCTTGCTGAGTTTTTCCAGATTCATCCTGAAAGCCTAAAACAAAGACAATAATCAGACAATCTTCAGAAAAGAGTTAATTTCATATAATTAAAGAAAAAAATAAAGTGAGACAGATAAGAGCAATTACAGTATAAAATGCTTTAAGAAAGGAAATGGTTACAATTATAGAGAAACACAAGCACTTTCTGATATTAATCACAAACTGAGCAGTAAGAGAAAATAAAATTCACTTTATTGATTTCATCACCACTCACAAAGATCAATTTTTTGTCATCTTTCCTCCAGACGTATTTACAAACAAATATGCTAGATGATCTCAGAAAGAATCAGTCACTAATTTTGTTCACCAGAAGTTCAGGTAAAATTGTGTTACAATGAAAACTATTTCACTGGAAAATTGTTAGACTATGAAAAGATTTCCCAGTTTTAGATAATCAAATTCCAAACTGTATATAAAACATTCTGGCATCCCTCATCAATTGGTTGAAATAAAATCCGAGCAAAGATAATGTTTGGTGGGAGTATGGGAGAAACTTTTATTTTAAATTGTCTACTCTTGCAACCACTATAGCAATATTTATATTTTATATAGTAAAAATAGACTTAATACAAACATATGCAAATATACTTTTAAATGAATTCTTAAAATATGTTGTTTAAACATCTTAATTGGTCAGGCTACTACAAACTGAATTTATTTGACTTAACAAGTTCACATTTCTACGAGGATTTGCATGTTCTGAAATATGTTAAATGGCAAATTTACAACGCACAAACCCAATCCTTTCCACAAGATTTTCTCACAAACCGAACACAGAAGTTAGACTGCTATACAATCTTTGAAGGGTCTTCAGATAAGTGTATATGGTAAGATATATTTCCAACTTCCAAAGTAGAGCAAATACTATTTTCTCTCTCCCACTTTTTACTTCTAAATTGCCACCCTCATACAGTTTTCTTTAAAGTGAATAACAACATGAGTAGTTCACACACTCTCCAGTAATTCCTCACTCTTAAGTTTTAGGAGGCACACAAAAGACTCATTGACTCCTTCCAGAGCTACTGCTTTTAAGTGAAGAATATGTACAAAATGGCATGTTTCACTTTGTTGTTAGATTGTGTTCCAGGACATGTAAACTCAGCTGTAACTGCTAACTTTCTAACTAGTGAATTTTACCAAATAGTAAGTGATTCTCATGTTTTTTGGATTAGAGCTATGTCTCATAAGTTATTTTGAAACTAAAAACTAAAAAACAAAACAAAAAACAGAAAAATTCCAACACATCTAATAAAGCTACAGTTCATATAAGATGGTATACAGGAAAGAGGATGTGGCTTTGCAGTCAGATGCCACATCTGCATCTTTCTAGTTTTGTGACTGGGCAAATTTTCTGATTCTCAGTTTTCTAATCTGTGAAAGAGGGATGATGACATCTAACTCATAGGGTTGCTGTGAAGATTGAGTTAATAAATGTAAAATGTCTACCATGCCCCAGATACCAGCTAAATAATGGTTTAATTATTAATAACTACTATCCTCTCTCATTTCCGAGAAGAATTTAAGAAAGGAATTATCAAAACTGTGGACAGCCAAGATCAATGCCCTCAGAAATACCTTCAGCTGCCCTTGTGTAGTTGGGAAGTCCTTCTTCGTTCCATTCTAAGCTTCTTGGTAAAAAATCAAGTACTATTTGTTAGAGAGCCCAATTAAATAAGAGGTAAATATATATATATAAAGAGCTAAATCAGATTGTACCTAAATCCAAGTATTTCATCTGTTATGATAAATATACATCCTCATAAAAGAATAAAATTGAAACAATTTTCAGAGTCACTTTAATTTTAAAGCAGTGCCACCTAGGCAAGAAGAAATTCTATTCTTTGTCAATGACATAAATAATAATACACTTACTTGTTACCTTCATGTTTATAAATCACTTCTGCACACAAATTTTAATATCGGGAACATTTTACTAATATGTACCAACTCATTTAGTGTCTACATGAAGTGAATACAATACAGATATTACATAGGAGGAAAAAAAAGCTACCACTATGTAAGTCAAGAACCAACAGATCTATTTTTGCATAGTCTAATAGTCTTTCCTTATAAATACAGATATTACATAGGAGGAAAAAAAAGCTACCACTATGTAAGTCAAGAACCAACAGATCTATTTTTGCATAGTCTAATATCTTTCCTTATAAATATTAAAATTTAACAATTCTCTCTGTTCTATCCATTTGAATCTAATCTCAATATATAGGATGTGGCAACAAATTTTTGTCTGATATATAAGTGAAACATAATAAAACTGCATTACATTTTAGGATGACAGTGATATTCTGAGGAGGGGGGGCGGGTACTGACCTGATAATTGGCAGTCACACTTTAGTCCTCAAGTATAAATTCTTAAGGTTTCCTTCAGTTAAAATTTGGGAAAATTGACAAATATATTTAAAATGCCATCAGCATGGTAGAAAAGTGTCCAATGCTGCAAAATAATAAGAAATTTGTTGTCCATGTGACCATACTGTAAACAATTTGGTAAATCCCATTAATGTCCACTATCGTAACAGCTGGTGAGACTTGACAACTGTAGGTTGACACCAACAAGAAAGAAGAAAATAGTCAGTTCTTCAAACTGAAATTGAAAAATATACAAAAATTACCAGGAATCTGACTTCCTTCTTGCAACTATAACTAGAGAAGGAGGGAGGCTTTTGAAATCTTTTTAAATTTAAGATGTCCACTGCCACTTCCAACACTCATTTCTGAATGTCACTAGAAGAAATGATCTTTCTTTCCCTGAATTAACAAAAGCCTATTTGGCTTAAATCATCATGGCTTATGTACACTTAGGTAGAAGAATATCATTACAACTGAAAATTTCAAACTTCCAAATTCATATAAGGAAAATTATCCTCACCTCCTGACAGTCCACAAACAAAGCACCTTTCTCACCACCTCAACTTTGTCTATAAGGCTGATTACGTGTCCTTAGCTTCCATTTTTTTGCATTTATATCCAAATATTAAACGTTAGAGTATATGCACATTTTTTATTTGTGTTTCCTAACAGTGTATTAGACCCAGCCTTAAATTTTATTTGATAAAATGTAATTTTTATCCATATTTTAAGGCACTGAGTCTGAAAGCCTGTATGAATTGCTGAAACCTAACAGCCAAGTAGGGACAATGTCAAAGTGGGAAATAACACAGCAATCAATTCCTAGTTGTTTCCTTCATGAATCAGTCATTAAACTAATTATGAATCTCTCAACTTAGGAGAGGAAGTATGGGTTTGTTATGCAGTCAAGAATATAGACCCTCCACATATAGGCAAACCACTGAATAAGCTATTCTAGCAATTGCTGCGCAATATATGGGGAGAATTATGTGGCCTAGGATTTTCAGAAAAAAGCCGTTTCTAACCCCACATTCATTATCAGAAATATGATTGTAAGACTTTTGGCAGGCCACATTATAGTCTACAGACTCATTCCCTACTTATCTTCCAAATGAGCTGTTCCTTGTCATTGTCATCTTCCATTAAGTGACTTTGAAAGACAAGATTATTTCAACTAGATGCTTAGCTCATTCCTTCCAAGACTCAATTTTTCTTAGAAAAGTTGTTGACAAGTTGTCTGGATACATTATCATATATTTTGGTATAGCTAGCTATAGCTAAATTAAGCTTTATAGTTTTCTCAATAAAAAATACACATGCAAATATATATAATAAAAAGATAAAGTTATACATATTTTAATATCCTGGAAAAATAAGCCCATTTATGGGCTAAGTATGACACTTATTTTATGTTATCAATAAGTGATTTCAAATGAGTTTGCCCGGCATTCCATTTGGTCTATTCATATGCTTCATCCCACCAAGTCAGGGACAATAGCCAAGCAAGCATGAGTCTTTCTAGATGAACTTTCATGTGCCAACAGTCAGAAGAGTTATGGGTATTAAGAAGCACTCCCCACCCCCACCCCCACCATACCTCCTTAACTGTCGTGCTGATTTTGCCCTGAAGTATGTTGGTGTGGCTTGGGCTCGGGCTCTGCTCATTTTATCCTGACCCTTTCCCTTCTCTCGATAATACCCACGCTCCATTCATTCTGGTTCTGGTTGTGCTTCTTTCTTGAAAGTGTCCCAGCTTCTGCTCTGGAATTCAGAATTAACTCCCTAAGACAACAGGCATTTTGCCTTTTTACTAAAAGATTCAGTGGCAGAAAAAGAAACAAACACCCTAAATAGCTTGTGTGTATAACTAAGTAAGCAGAAGGGCAGGGCAGGGTGGAGTACAAGCAAGATGTTTGTCTGTCTAGTATGTGGTTGTGAGTATATCTTTATGTGGAACTGAAGGCTTTCTTTCTCTCCAAGTGGTGGATGATATGGGACATGAGAGAGAAAATAACATTTTTATATGAGTCTTAGTTAGTACTGACAGAAATACCTCAAAAAAATCTATACAGATCTATTAAAAAAAATCAACCAAGCTAATATTTAATTTTAAAGTTATTTTAACTAGGAGATCACTCTTGCAAAACTAGATAAAAATCACTATTATATAATTAGATATCAAATTTAAGAAATTTATTCATGGGCTACAGCTGACTCAGATTGAGGTCATTCAGTAAGTTTTTAGTATTAGTAATCAGATATGAGCAAAGATGTAAAGGAAATTTGCTCCAATTATGTAAAGACTCTTTTGCATACATATAAACAAACTCAAAATATAGGAGGCTAGTTAATTCTTAAAACTCAAAAAGACTGACATACAAAATGGGTGTTTTTGACAGCTTTCCATTAGATAATGTTCTTCCTTAAAAACCCAGTATATATGAAATATTAATAATAACAAGAAATTGTCACATTTATAAATAAATAGTCACATTTATATGGACAAACATGCACTGCTATTTTAAAAAATGTATTCAAAGCAACCTCATATCAGGGAGTGGAAGGTGTTGACACATTACCTTGACTATCTCAAAAGATTTAAGATTTCCCACCCTCTGGCACT